AATAGAGATCATGTACCAGTACAACAAGTATACATAATTAACAATATCAATATTCCATATAAATTCATCAAATTTAATGACGTTACAACATCAATTATGTTTAACAACTAGTTCAATATAAATCCATCAATATGGGGACATCACAAGACACATTTGACACTTGATAAAAATTGTAATTATTTTGTCTCAACCAATAATGTAATGCGTGGACTTGCTCTCGAGCTCTCGTATGTGCAAAAGACATAAATGCTCTCCTCATCTCCCCCATTATAATATACTCAACCTCATATCCCTTTCTTGGGACTTGCTAAAAAATGGTTCGGGAGACAAAGATAAAGAAGACATTGATATCTTTTACATAGAAAAGAGATCAATAGCGAGACCATGTTCCATCTTTTCGAGAAAAAAGTTACAATTTTTATCTCAATAAGCTCAATGCTCACAAAAGGCATCACAACAAAGAAGTTGAGTCCTTGACGAGATTTTTGTTATCACATATGAGTTATGACATAACCTAACTGCTTTCAAAGTTCAAACAATCCATAAAAATCACAAATTTAATAAATTCATACAAATAATTGACTTCAAAAAAATCATGTAACATTGGCTTAATTAATAAATTATAATCACATATTACAAAATAACATATTAAAGTTCAAGCAATAAACGAAAATATTTTTGTAATCACATCTAATTATGGGTAAGAATTACAAATCAAAACGTATGTTAAAAAGTTTTGTCACATCGATGTTAAAAAGCCGAAACTTGTTCATGAGCCCGCCCTTGGAGAGAAAGAAATTTAGATTGAGGTGTAGTTTGCTTACTTGTTACGGCCCCATTTCTCACTGCGACCATCCGATTGACATGTCGTACCGAAATGTTAGACTAAAACCCAACGCAGCAGATGAATCTCACAACTAAAATTCTGAGACCACCATTTGGTCAAGTCGGAAAAGATTCTCATCTTGTTCAAATTTATGAAAGGGAGATAAATATGCATAGAGGGACTCCATGGCACAAAAGCGGATGCTGTTAGTGTTTGGAACCGCTAAACAGCATGGTTTGAGAGAGACAGAGGTTCACAAAGAAAGTGTGATAGAGATCCGAGAACAAGTCTTACATCTTTCACTCCTTCGGTTGCAAGTTGCGAACAGCGAAGGGACACGGGTCGACGGAGCACCAGGGACGAAGCGATACAACCGGGGAAGAAAGAGATAAAAATTGACGGATAGAGATTGACCTTTTTGTTAATGGAGCTTCGTATATATTGTAAGCGAAGACCACTATTAGAGTAAGAGAGACAACCACTTTCTCGGTTTGTTTTCTTTCTTCAGTTTTCTAACTCTAGAATGCAAGTGTGGGTCCAAAATCGATGCAGTGTTTCCCTGCAAAGGCAGTGTTTGAGGGTATATTAATAAATTGGTATTTGTATTCATGTTTAATAAGGGGAAAATGGTAAGTTACTTTTTTAAATGTACATATTTAGTCATTATTATTTTTTATTTTTTTGTAAATTAAACCCTTATTCTTTATTAATATCTACACATTAGGTCCTTTTAACCGGATTCTATAGGGTTTGCTGATGTAGAAGCACACGTGGCACTAAAAACAACTGAATAACAACTAATTAGCTTAGTCACTCCTTATAAACGAATGTTAACATCCAAAATCAGGAGGAATCACGGTTTTATCGTAGAAGAAGAAAGAAGATGTCGAGTGGCTCAAGAATCTCCACAGGTTCAAGCAATCACAGAGTAGATAAGGATGTCCTCTGTGATTGTAAACTCCCTACGAGAATTTGTACCTCCAAGACCAAAGATAACCCCGAAAAGAAATTTTGAGTGTGCCCTAACTCATTGGTAAATACCTAAATTGATTTTATTTGTCAAATCGCATCAATTTTCTTCTTTTTACCTTCTATGTTATTGATTTTATTACTACAAAAACTAGGGAAAAAGTGTAAAGTTTGTGTGACAACCCGGAATTTCCATTCTGTATAAACAATAACACTTCAATGGAAGTTATATCAGTCACAGTAAACTTTCAGACGTTTCCGTATAAGTTTGAGTAATTTAGGGTTTACACTTCAGGAAATATCAGGAGAGTGGATGCACTAGAGTTTTGTGCAACACTGTTATTCCAACACTCTATTATATTAGAGATCATTTCGGGAATAAAATATTTTCTGCCAAAAATCTCAGGACTATAAATAGAATTCTGAACCAAATTCATTCATTATTCGCATTTCTAACTAGAGAAAAGCCATTTTCTCTCTCATGGATCTTCGGGTTTTTATCCCAAAACGTGAGTACCTCTTGCTAGTAGTGTTAGATAGCTTAATATGTGTTTATAACATGATTTAGATGGCTAAATCACTAGATTTAGGAGTTTACTCCCCAAGGTGTTCTTGGGCGGTAAACTCCCAAAACAAAGCCTAGACCTGTCCCCGTGATATGATGCTACTTTGGGCTTGTATAGAAGTGTATTAGGGACAAGAAAACATCAAAGAATCACCCAAGTTTGGGAGTTCACGGCCCAAGAGGATCTTGGACCATGAACTCCAAAATCATTCACAAAAGGGTGCTTTTAAGGCACCTAAAGCCATAGGCATTTACATAGACTTGTTCCCATTTAAGCAAGGGCCTTAAACACATCAAGAACACCCCTCAAAGTGAGTTCACGGCCCTAATAAGGTTCTTGGGCCGTGAACATCAAACAAAGGCACCAAAGTGTGCCAAAGGCCGTGATATGCTTGTAATAAAAGTTTGAGACCTATACTACACGTGAATAAGACTTGAAAGCATCAAAAACACCCATCCTTAAGAGTTTACGGCCGCAAACTCTAAGGGAAATGGCCTTAGGGTCGTAAACTCCTCAAAGGGGTGTTTCTATGCCTTAAACCCTTCCAAGAATTTAACCACCAAGTTGGAATAATTCTAGGGATCATTTGGGACTTCAAAAGACAAAATATCACCAAGATTGTGAGTTCACGGACGTAAACTCAAGAGTTTACAATCGTGAACTCCATGTGTGATGATATATGGAGAGTAAACTCAAGTATAGGGTCCTTTGGAACCCTAAAACCAAGTACCTTGTCCCACAATAGCTTAGATGCAATCCTTAGGGCTTAAAACACTTATATAAAGCGTTTATTATGTTCTTGGATGTCTTAACATTATCAATTAGTAAATAAGTCTAATTGAGTGCATATATGTGTGATTATATGTTCATTAGGATCGTAGTGTGTGTACAAATCCTCACTTGACACCTAACAATCCTGCACCGTCCAGTTCAGCAGAACTACCATCTACAGGTGAGTTCATACCCCTCAATCAATGTTTTAAATGTTTTTAAATGCTTTAATGGGGGGGGGGGATACAAGTAGAAAACAACATGTTATTAAATCACTAATATGTATTTTATAACTATGTTTTCATCCAGCAGATTTCACATACTACAAAATGTGATGCATGAAATGGTTTTCTATCTTACAATACCTTGATAACAAAAGTATTAGTTTTGAAATGTTTATTAACATGACATCACGTCACTCTTAATTATTATTCAAAACTCTTAGATACCTTGCAAAACCATTACGTTTACCTTCTTGAACAACCAACTACCTTTCAGTAAATTATCATAGGGATAATTTGAAGATATCAAACATTATTCCTATTACAAGGAATCACACAAGAGTCAGTTCATTCATGAGTCTACACCAGTACATTACCTGATACATGGGTACATATACATATGCTTACCTGATACATGAACATGTTTACATATACTTACCTGATACATGAACACACTTACATGAATACCATACATGAACACTGTTACATAGATGCATTATCATGTATTCACTTACCTGGATACTCATATCTTGACTTGCGAAGATGATTTATTAGTACTTTCTGTGTAAATTATCTTTCCTATCCCGGTTCATTGGGATATCTAGGCGGGACTAACTATTCCGAATCCCACTGATTAGCACCAGTGGTCGATGACCATCTACGGAGGTCTTACGTTACTACATATACTAGGTAGATCGATATCGGAACTAACCATTCCTCCATCATGCTGTTGCAACAGAGGATAAGATGAAAATCTTCGGATGATCATTAGGTTACTATTTTCTATTAGGTAGATCGATATCGGGACTAACCCTTCCACCCATCTGCTGCTGCTACAGAGGACAAGTGGAAAATATTCGGATGTTCATTAGGTTATACTTTTCGCTTATTGCGATGTTGTGTTACTCCTAGTACCCAGTGACAACACTTACATTAGTACAATTTCATGTTTACTTTATTTTGTGATACTTTCACATAAACGATGAGTTAGACTAAGTACTTTAGTACTAGTTAATAGAAGGAAAAACTATCATTTTACTTACAAAACATTCGGGTCTGGGTTGAAGACTACATTTCATGATAATAGAAAATAAGGGATTTTCTAGGGCTTTTCATACTTATATCAACATTTTCATTTAAAGGTTTACATGACTTTTAAAACAGCTTTTCAAAGCAAGTCAATGACACTTAAATACTTATGAATTCACCAGCTTTAAAGTTGATACTCTCTATCAAAATAGCTTGTATTCTCAGGTCATTAGTAGACAGGTACGGAGGCCAGTTTTTGAGAAGACGGAGCAGACAAGTCTCATCTTTTATTTTGATTGTATATTTTTGGTGTCTTATTACAATGAAAGAACACACATGTATTAAAACTTGACTTATAATGCAATGGATGATGTTGTTGCTTGTTTACTATTTTACACTGTTGTGATACTGTACATGACGTCCTCCACCCCTAAACGTTTCCGCCGTTCGTGGTTTTGGGGTGTGACAGTTTGGGAATGGATTGATGAAGAACCTGAGAATATGAACCCATTGTAGAAGATACTCTTTGCAGATTATCTTATACAAGTTTTAGAGGATATGGCATCTGTTAGAGAAGAAGTGAAACAGTTGAAGGTTATGGTTTGTGTACTGATTCTGCTAGTCATTGTTAAGGTTATGTTTTGGGGTTGAAGATATGCTTCTAGAGGTTTTAGGGGATGTTGATGTAATAGACTTGTTGTGTAATTCTTCCTCCTGAATCCAATCAAACAAAGGTTCATGATAATGATCCACATACACATCCAATCTTTTCTTTTCATTGATATCTTCAAGAAACTCGTTAAAATCACAGTCATTCTGAATAGCATGTAATCCCTCAGACAACCTCGCTTCATGCGGACAGTAATACACATATCTGCATCTTCCGTTAGTAAGCTTTTCAAGAAAGGGGGTGAAATCAGGGAAGTTCATCTTGTTCACAACCATGTATGGTACAGAGGCTTTTAGTCCATAAAAATACATCAATGGGGGTAGGTGTGAACATCCCATTATAGTGTACATCAACGATTGTATCTGCATCTTTTGCCATTGTTGATGGTGATTCCGTGATTGTGAGTCAAGAAGTCTGAGGGATTATCGGTTGAGTGAATAGAGGAATGGTTGATTAAATGAGCCCTAATTGTCGTCCAAATGTGATATAATTTAACAATATCCATGTAAGGTGACATCTTGATGCCACTTGGTTATTTTATTTCAAGAAAATAAAAGAAAATTCGTATATGACCGGTACACCAGATCAAAATGATTGCATAATTACAAAATATCTGGTATAAGGGTTTAATTTACAAAAAAAAAAAAGGACTAAATATATACATTTCAAAAAGTATCTTACGCTATCAAGTCATTTTCCCTTTAATAAATTTTTGATGGGCCGCGACAAACCGTAGTTTTTGTGTAATGTAAATATAATCAAATTATAGAACCATACTTTAGTCCCTAATGAAAATGTTTAGCGAAGTGTCTTCTAATCATATACTGACCTAATGTACTATGAAGATATATCATAAACATCATGATATCAATAGAAAAAATGAACATGATTAAAATAGGATAAGGTTTTCATGGTCAAAGCAAGAATGATATTAACATTCAAAAACTATTTTAAAACAATCAATATAATATCAACTTTGTATTTGAAATCAAAGGAATAAAAACATGTTAATTGTTTTTTTAGGTTATTCGTTGTTAAAGTAGATTCATAGCCAATGTTGCCTTCTCAACTTAACTACTTTAAGAACCGGATCCCATTTGATTTTAAATAAATATACAAAAGCACATTACTATTCCTTGCATTTAACCTTTTTTGTTTTATCTAAATATGTGCAATTACACATTTACCCCTCTTTCAGCCTTAGCAACAGCTGTAGTGCTGTCTTTTAAACCTGTTGCCAAATTGCTATAATAGGTAAAATTTTCCAAATTACAATGCACCAATTAGAATATAACTTTTAAAAAAATACAATGTTATAGTAACAACAAATTAAAATACAATGCTACAATACAAAGTTTTAATTTAACTAGTGAACTCAGTAAAAAAAAAGTACATATAGAAGATTGTCTTTTAGCTCAGTCTGTTGCAGTAGCTCCAAGGTTAGGTTTTGACTCCATTTCTTCACTTGTCACCGGTTTATGCAACTTCAAAAAAAGATCATGTAAGAGTAAAAATAAACGTACCAAATCCAATCCACACATATGTGCAAAAGACATAATCACCCTCGCAACATAGCCTGATCTACTTTTCTTGGAGGATTGGGATAAGGGCATTTGTGTCTTTTGAACAACACAGATCGATAGTGAGTACATGTCCATTGTCCAACCTTTTTGGGTGAGACTAAAAATTATAACTTTTTTTCCAATTGAGCCCTAAAAAAAGAAGTTTCGTTCTTAAAAAGATTGATCTTTTTTTAATTGAAATGCAAAATTAAGTTTTTTTAACTTATAAAATATAGTTTTTAGAAGATTCTTGACCAATATATGGAAAGGAAAAACTTACTGCTTTTGCAACATCAAGCCAATGAAAAGCACGCAAAAAAGCATCTTCTTTTGATGGACGATTATCGTGATTCCATAAAGTTATGTTTTGAAACTTTGCATTCATCTGCCAAGAAGTTGTCATCTCTGCATCGCCATTAGAAGAAGCTTTTCTCTTCCCTGATGCTTTCTTTTTTCCTATCACAAATCCTGCAATAATTTTATGGTTAAAACAAGTTTGACGACGCCTAATTTCAAGAAACACAAAAGCTTTTAAATTTCCAGAAAAAGTTTCTCGACGACTTATATAAATCATTGTAAGGCAAAGTTAAATTTCAAGAACATGACTGAATATAATCATTTAAAAAGGAAAGATAAGTAAGGATTTAGATCTGTACCTGAATAACCATCAGGAAGGGGAAAGGTTGTGCCTTGCAACTTTCTTCCCCTGAAGCAAGCCTCTTTCACATTAAGACCATCAACCTCGATCCCTTTCAGAATCGTAAGGAAATACAAATTCAAAACCTAATTTTGGAATCAATTTCGACAAATAATCAATGAATGGGATGGATATAAAAGGTATTTACCGGTGGATTTGGGTTTGAAGTAGCTAGAAACAGGGGCTGGTCCGTCGTACTTGATGCAGCTAGGCAGCTGATGGATCTGATCGGTGAGATCGACTGCGACGCCGGCTAGATTGATGGTTCCGGTCTCCATAGACGCACTTCCGCCGCCCATGTGGTTGAAATGGAGTATTGGACTCTGAAATCCAACCCTGAAATCCCCAAAATCAGTTCTAAGGCTACATCCTTCCCGCCATTTTGCTTTCCCGAGTCGAAAACACGCGCGAACACTCAACACCCATACGCTAATAAGCAGTGCTTTATCTTGTCTTGAAGCTTATTGGTGCGTAATTTTACCTTTATTTTAGTAAATTACACGAATGGTTCGTGTGGTTTTAGATAAATTGCGTATTTTATCCATAATTTTTTTAATTCCGACACTCTTTAAAATATACGTTTGTTACGGTCCCTACAAAACATAAAATACTAGTTTGCTCATAATAATTTCTTTTCTATTTTTCTATTATTTATTTATTTATTTATCTTTTTTAAATTTAAAAATAAAATAGAAAAGAAAATCGGTATAATTTAGGTTTGTGAGTTTCTTGTCGGTGTCTGTTCATGTGGTGAATCGTTATGATTTGGTTTAGTTTGTTATTTGGTTTAATTTTTCGCTATAAGGAAAACTTGCATATGAATATAAAGGATTTAGAGATGAAGGATTGTTACATGTGATGATTGGTTGTCATGGAGGTGGGTAGGTTTAGAGGTGTGACAAAATCTGTATAATTAGGTCATTGTTCACTGTTTTGAGTTACCGTAAATACAGATGTAATATGACCTATTGGATTCCATTTTTTTTTAATGCAAATGAAGTTTTCATACTTAGAAATGCATACATAATACCATTTTAGTCTCCGAGGTATGTAGATCTTTGACGAACAAAACACTACTCATAGTATATAAGTAATAATTAATACACTGAAAATAATATTTATGTATTAAGTATTTTATGTGCAAATAATATTTTAAACAGATAAAACATGTAACATCCCAAAAACCATATTGAAAATTTTTATTTTTAAATAAAATAAACACTCATTTTTATAAAATTACATTAAAGTCAATCTATTTATTCATAAATCATAATTCAAATTCAGAGTTATAACAAAAACAATGTTACCACACCTCCGGCCGTCGGCGGAAAAGCCAATGTGCACGACGTAAATCAGTGATCATAGTTATTGAACATACAATGAATAGTACAAAAATAATCTTCTATTGTTACCGAAATAGAAATTACATGGTTATTGCTAAATCGCGACACACATCTAATCAATTTATCGTTTACAGAGATATACTACAATAACAGGAAGTCTTTTATGCAAAATTTTCTGATCTGCTAAATAATCTGAGAATACATATATTAAGATACGTCAACTAATTTGTTTGTGAGTTCTATAAGTTTTGACACAAGGTAATTTTATAACCAAAAGTGTTTTATAAAATTTGTCTAGTGACCCAGATTTTATTAATACATACTTTTCTTTCAAAAGTATAAAAATAAATGAGTTGTAAAAGTGTATTTGGACTCATTTAGAAATATCGTTTTCTCAAATCCAAAAATACAAAATTTGTTGAATATATAAATAAATCAAACTTACATCAAATTTTGGGCGTTCACATGACCAAAATGCATTTTTATAAAAAGATTTTGAATACCAAATTATATAAAAATAAGACACGTTACTCTTTGTGAAACATAAAATAATCAACTTTACTCTTGAAGTTTCGTGCAAGCAATTTTATAGTTTATATGTAAAAATCTTAGTTTTTGAGTTTATAAGACTTGTAAGGTCGTGACATGGTAGTTATTGAGTGTTAACTTACTTAAATTGGGAACCGATGCCAAAACAGTGCGGTAAACCCTTCCATGTAAGCATGGTGTTTTCATGCAATAATGTAGGGTTTATGTAAATAACTTATTAAAGTTAAGTTAGTAAACCTTGACCGGTCATGTCATAAAATTAATTAAGCGTTATCTAACTTAATTTTGGGTAAAGACACTTATCGTTTGGAACAAATATCCCTACTACATACAGTCTTATTTCAACTCGCATGAGTATCGATCCAAACTACATATAAATACTATTTCAATTCTATACGAGAGTGCGTGCTAGGTATAATGATTTACTTATCTTATAAGTTCTATACCTACAAGAATTTATGCACTCTATGCTTAAGTGTTTCTACTCTTAAACATGGCACAACTACTTGTAAAAGGTACAAGTTTGCAAGTCATAGAGAGTAAATGGCGCTACATGAGGCTATAACCGATACTATGATGTTCCTCTCTCCATAACCGATGCTACAAGGAGGGCACACCACAACAGTCGTCTGGACCCTTCATCATCATCGGGAACAACCAAAACCATAATCTTCCAGAGCCTTCAACATCGTCAGGAAAACAAATAGGATAATTGTCACCACTATAACTCATCAGATAAGATTGTAGCTAATAACCACGGGTAGGGTTATCAACCCGTATAGGACACTATACATAACTTCATTTATCTATAGGATTAATAGTTATATGCAAAGGACCTTACTAAGTTTTTGATTCTTAGTTTATGAATTTCCATCCCATGTGGACTTAACGGTTCCAACCGTCCTAAGAACTCCAACAATTCATTAGTTCCAATTGTTCTAACAGTGAGTAAGTGCGTCTAAAACCTTAAGTTACTAGATCAACAACTTAACCGTACATATAATTACAATAGAAACTAGGAAACATAGCCGGTGTGAACAAAACAAAACCAGGTTTCAACCAACGTGAAACCTACATTTCCATAATATTCAATAACGTTTATAATTGATACCTTACATAATTTC